ACCAGGGAAGCCCACGATGATCACTTTTAAATGTAGAGCAGACCATGCTACTCCCCTTCACGCAATCCTCCAATGGGCTTCTGCTTCACACAGAACGAAATCCAGACTCCTTCCCATGGCCTCGGCAGCCTCACGTGCTCCAGCTCCTGCCTGCTCTCTGATTGCTGCCTGGGTTGCTTTAGCCATGATCTTCTGGCTTTTGGACACAGCAGGCTCCTCGGCACTTTGGGTCTTCAGCCTTTGCCATTTTTCCTGCCAAAGAATGCTCAGGCCACGGATCTTTGCATGTCCTTCTGCTCTTTGCTATTTAAGGCTCAGAATCAACGTCATTGCCCCAGAGAGAATTTCTCCGGCCATTTATTTTTAAGATAGAAAACCTCAGTCTCTACCACATAACAGATGCACAGTAAATATTCATTTTCTCCCTTTTTCCAGACATCCCAGGCTCTGGTGCTGTTAACACAGACAAAGCTGGGGGCAAAAGATTTATCGTTTGAAGTCCTTACCTGCCCCCAGCTCTGAAGTTGGTACAAAACTGGGAGAACCCAATAACCTGTTAGCATAAGTTAGTGTAGCTGGGAAGGCTGAGGGGATAGTCATAAGTAGGTGAGTTTGGCTTGTGTCGATGTGAGGCTGAGGCCCTCGGGACACGGAGGTCTAGTTGGAGCATCAGAGGACCTCGTTAAAGGAACTGGACTACACTAAGGGAAGGCCGGGGTCCATAGCCATCCTCCCCCTACACACCTGCCTGTTCACCCTTACAGTTACCCACACCCTGGGTCCCCTACTGCTACCACCAATCCACGTTTATAAAAACAAACACCTCCAGATTAGGTCTCTCCTCTCAGGCTGAATATCAGAGAGGGGTCTTGGGACAGAGAGAAACGAGAGAGTGGAAGGAAAGAGGATGTTTCAAGGCCAGACCGGAAGTAATGGGCACCATCTCCACTTGAATTTCACTGGTCCCTCTTTTGCTACATTGGCTGAGCCAGATGCATGGGGCTAGGACCATGTGCCCAGGAAGAGAAGAGCAATACTGATGGACATGCTACAAGCTGGAGACACATCTTTCTTTCTGTTTTTTTTTTAATAGACTCATGGTTCACGGGAGCCACTGTCCATTAACTTGATGTAATAAAGATTGCCCACCAGCTACTAATAAGCCATCTTCTGTTCAATATTAATAGAGAAGCTGTCCCCAGAGGCCTCCCCCTTCAGTGGGAAGGCACGGTGCTCTTGTCTGCCACTTGTGGAGTCCATAATGAGAAGAGTTCAGGGGAAGGAATTCAGATCCTGGTAACTAGAGTCTGGGCTCTAGCCCTTTCCCAAAGGTACCTTTATGTGCCTGGCAAATGCACCCCCCAACAAATGGCCTATGGAATAGCATCGTTAATTTGTTTTCAATGTTGAAATTTGTTTAAAGTGAATGGGACCGAGGGCAAAAACAACAGAGTGGGGATAGGGCGGTGGCAGAAGGGGACACTTCCCAAATGAGCAAGTAGAAGCTTCTCTGCCTCTGCCTAGCTGTGGCAGGAGGGCTCTGTGGGCGGAAGGCTGCTTTGCGGGCTCATGGCTCTGGACGCCAAGACCAGACCTAGTGCATCCTGGCGGCCTCCCTGCAGCCGCCTTCCTCTTCTCGCTGAAAGGAACAGTGTAGACATGTGAGTGAGGTGTTGGGAACCTCAGTCCCTGCCGCCACGGCTCAGCTGGTTTCATGCCAACCAGATATCACATACACGAAGCCTCCGTCACGAGACTTCTCAAGGTCATTTCCGAAGGGGGACGTGGGAGAGAATCTCACTGTCTCATTGTCAACATCCTTTATAAGGTGCTTCCTTATAAGGAGCTCTATCTTTAAATAATCCCCCAACTGGTTTGGAAAGAGGAATCAGAGTTCTCTTTTTCACTTCACCAGAAACTAAAATAGTGCTTTCATGAGTGATGTCACAGATGGCAGACTGCAAACACAACTGGAAAACCTCAGCCTAAAACTGAGAAAACACGCTTCTTCACTTCCTCACACACGTAGGGCCAGCTCTCCTGGCCGACAGGACTAAGGATGTGAGAGATTAACCCCAGAGTTGAGGCAAATCCTGTGCTTCTCTCTGCATTTTGTCAGGCTCCTGCCTGCACCTCCAGGCATCTCTCCTCCCAGGGCCCCTCCTGACCTTCATCTTGCTGCGTTCCTGCCTCCATGCTCCTTGCCTCTGCTGGATGCTTCATTTTCATGTCAAATCCTCATATCCACTACAGATCGTTATTATCCCCCAGTTTTCAAACAGAAGCTCAGGTACTGATAATTTAAGTAGCGCGGTCAGAGTCACACAGGTAGGAAGTGGCAGATCTGGGATTCGGTCCATAGTTCTGGCCAAAGATTCTTACCCAAGTCATCACACCAGGACGACTTTGGGATGGCTCAGCCTCCTTGCCCCATGTCCCCTGGTATAACTCCCTACTTGCAGCTGAGAATCACGACTGTAAAGGACATGTTATTGGGATTTTCCCAGTAAAGAGTATAAAGGCAGAAGATTGATCCCTGAGATCCTGGGACTGAACCCCAGTGCCTCACGGTGGGCGATGGCCTGATGAGAAATGCTATGTCTTCGTCTACCTTCCAGCAGCCATGGGAAAACCAGGCAAGGAGTAAATCCCATTAAAGAGCAAAATATGTCACAACTAATTACTTCCCTCCGGGGTGGGCTGAGGCCACTTCTCTGTTCCAACAGGTACCTTACTGGGAAGGAGCCTCTGTTACCAGGGCAGGGAGGAACCACAGCCCAGTCAAACCTGTAGACTGGTGATTTAAATGGCCTCATTCTTCCTCAAAATAAAGAACCAAAAGCATCACTTCCTGGTAGCTCCTGTGCACTCTTCCTCAACATCAAAAATGTGTCTCACACCCATACACACATGCACACACACACACACACACACACACACACACACTCACCAGTGCCTTACAGACCTGGCAGCCTGAACACAAAGCCCTTCAAGCAATGCATAAGCCACAGCAACTCCCTCAAATCAACGCAAGGGAAGAATGTGAGAAAATACTCAGCCAATGCCACCAGCTGAGGTTTGACCAGCACTTAGAAGTTAAAGTGTTTTTTTTGTATAATCTAAGAAAGATGCCACGGAAGAAGTGGGAGTTGGAACATGGTCTTTGGAGGCAGGCAGCATGCATAACTTGTGGGAACCTAGGTAAGTTACTCCTCTTCTCTAAGCCTCAGTGCCCTTACCTGTAAAATGGAGATATTGACATGAACCTCGTAGGACTGTTATAAGGAATATCAACATGCCCCTCGGATCCTAGATTCCTAAGACAGAATATAAGCTATGGGTAAAAATGAAACAGTGTCTTAAATTTCATCTCATTTATCTTATCCTATGTGCCTGAATTTCTATTTAAAAGAGACCTAGCTTGGACTTCCCCAGTACCCAGTGGTTAAGACTCCTCGCTCCCAATGCAGGGGTGCCCGGTTTGATGCCTGGTCGGGGAACTAGATCCCGCATGCATGCCACAACTAAGAGCCCGCATGCCACAACTGAAGGCCCCACACGTGGCAACAAAGATCCCGCGTGCTGCAACTAAGACCCAGCACAGCCAAATTAATTAATTAATTAATTAAAACACACTGAGATTTTTTTTAATTAAAAAATAAATAAATAAAAGAGACCTAGCTTAAATAATGAATGGGGGCACAGCTCCAGCAGGGGCATCTGGGACGGGAAAACAATTGATAGGATGAGAAGATGCCAGATTTATAGTAGACACTCATTTCTTGCAAGTACCCAATATCATCCCACTGAATGAAACACACACACATACACACACACACACACACACAACACTGGATGAGGTGAGGGAACGACCTGTCCCACTTTATTGCTTGCCTGTGCTGTTTGACAAGTTCATTCTGAGTAGGTTTCCTTAGGGCGTGAGAATCCTGGGGACATGGCACCACGTTCCAGACTAAAGATGTGCCGAGAAGGGACCCAGCCCCAGGGCCCTTTCTGAAGCAGGAGAAAGTATATAGGAGGTGGAAGAAAAGCATGTAAATATAAGAAATATTAGGAAAAAGAAATTTATAAAGGTTTTGTGATTCACTTAACCTTGTTAATGGAATGTCTATGATTTTAAAGTTATTACTATAATCACATTGTGTTCATTAACAGCATTTCCCCACAGCGTATTTAACTCTTCAAATATCTTATGGTCAATTTTATGTCTATGAGACAAAACACTGAAAGTTCTACCCACCCATGCGTCCCTTGACTTTGTGGAACAAAGGTGACAAATACAGGTTTGATTTGTGCCACCTGAAAGAGCGCCATCTAGAGGCAACTACTTCAAACGGCACCTGCGTTCACCGCTAAGCATAAACTCATCTTGACACAGATGTAACTGCAAAAGTAATACGTACCCTCTGTACAAACCCTGGAATAAGTAAATCTGTAAGACTGATACAATTACAAAATGGAATTTAAGTTGGAAAAAAATGCCTGAGCAAACAGATTTTTGGTTGCCTTTTGGTTCCTTGCAAGTACCAATCCCTTTCACAAAACAAGCTTCACGGGAAGAGGAACTGAGTCATTTGCCTTGTCAGTTACAATTCATAAAAAATAGGCTCCACCATTAGCTAAATACAACTATTCAAATACAATTTAAGAAGTATCAAAAGAAAAAAAAACCTTAAAAAACCAGTAGCAGCAAAAACATTGAACATCTGTAAACAAAATCACCAGTAACAACCCTAGGCTTAATAACAAAGGATCTGCATTCTTGTAAAATATTAAATATACATAACGAAGAGAATATTGGCCATCTTTTTTCTTAATAGACAACACTCAATAATAAAACAATCTTGGGCTTCCCTGGTGGCGCAGTGGTTGAGAGTCCGCGTGCCGATGCAGGGGACGCGGGTTCGTGCCCCAGTCCGGGAAGATCCCGCATGCCGCGGAGCGGCTGGGTCCGTGAGCCATGGCCGCTGAGCCTGCGCGTCTGGAGCCTGTGCTCCGCAACGGGAGAGGCCACAGCGGTGAGAGGCCCGCGTACCGCAAAAAAAAAAAATAAATAAAATAAAATAATAAAACAATCTTATCAACAGGAGACGTGATCATAACAAGTGTTTCACAGTCTTTCTCACGACAGTCAAGGGCATGATGTCGCCACAGAGGGCAAACTTTCCAAAAGTCTTCTCCTCGCTGCGATCCTCGCACACCGGGGGCACTCGGAGGCCTGGAAGCACTGCTTGTGAAAGCAAGCCCTGCATGCTGCAAGCAAGGAGGACAGCCGTCAGCTAACAGGTAGCTGGTTTTCTCAAATATGTACAGACGCTTATGCCCATCCCGGGGAGAGAGGGGATATGAACCCAGAAACCAGAGTCTTCCAAAGAGAAGTCAGGCAGGTTGAAACTCAGAGGGACTATAAAGTCCCCAGTAGGTCATGAGGGCCAGTAGAACATGAGGCTCAGACAGCTTGATGTCGTGGATGCTGCAGTGCCTCCCAGATCTGTCCAAAGACCACCCCCCAGGGTGCTAAGAGTGCATCACCACATCAGTGGCTGATGGCTCAGGAGGAAGCATCCCTTCTCTGGAAATGGCCCTGACTAAAGAGAGCTGGATTGATCAAGGTCATGCCCCCTCGCTGGCCCCAGCCCGCATCTAGAGACTGGTCAATATGAGGTTTAAAGACCTGGCTGGCTCTCTTGTCTCCAGTTTGGCAAAATGCCGCAAAACCATCCCAGCTCCCCTGAGATGCACTGAGTCTTCATGGCTACCCCACCACAGTTCAACTTCTCCCTCTGCCCAACCCAGCTGCCTTCATACTCTCGTAGGTGTTGAACCTGAGAAGTGCCCTAGTGAACTTGGGATTGACTGTGATTCAATTACAAAACAGGGGGGCAGCTGGGGCTTCCCTGGTGGCACAGTGGTTGGGAGTCCTCCTGCCGAGGCAGGGGACGCGGGTTCGTGCCCCGGTCCGGGAAGATCCCACATGCTGTGGAGCGGCTGGGCCCGTGAGTCATTGCTGCTGAGCCTGTGCGTCCGGAGCCTGTGCTCCGCAACGGGAGAGGCCACAACAGTGAGAGGCCCGCGTACCACAACAAAACAAAACAAAACAAAACAGGGGCAGCTGTAACTTGCCCTGATGTAGAAGAATTGGGGGACAGGCCAAACAGGGACCACCTCCTCTCTCCAAACCCTGTTCCATAAGACATCATCCTTTAGCTCTGCCCCACTCAAATTCTCCCCCCTGTGCACCCAAACCTTTATAGGCTCCAATTCAACACAGAAGCACACACCAGCATTATTATACTTTAAAGAAATAACACAGTGATTTAGTCATTAAGCTGTTTTTAAGCTTAAGTTAATTTTGTGCTTAAGTCATCAAACTTAACTTTGCACTTAAGTTATTAAGCCACTATAAAGCTTAAGGTATTATCGCGTTATGATACCTGAACATCTTCTACACGTTGCGGTCTGAAATGGGAAGATGACAGCTGTACTCCGGCAAAATTCACAAATGAAACCCTTTCCTTGACACAGCTGTAAGAATAGGAGTCAAAAAGTGAGAGTCCTCATTGGTAATGTTTCTCCTGACGCAGAAGCTGCGTTACCACTTTCACAGAACTTTATAAACACCAGTTTTTTCCCCAGGTATTGAAATCTTTTATTCTAGCATCCCCCAGATTGACTGTGGAAGTAACAAGTTTCTGCACTTAAAACGTTTATATAAATTCATGAATTGCAATTTTCATAGAAGTCAAATGAAACATTCTGCATAGGACAAAAGATATGCCTACGCAACGTATCATATTTGCACAAGGCCACTGAATGCCGTGGACATACGTAACAATTAAAAAGCTTGTCCATGGCGGATGATGTAAAGATTTCAGTTTGGTATTCTATAAGCCAAGACTGTACACTGCTCTTACTATACAAGAGTTCTAATGACATACAGAGCTCTGTAAACACCAATGTTTAAATGTCTATGATTCTAGCCTCTAGAAGGAACGGGATGCTATAACCTGCCACAAAGGAAGAATCAGAACAATAAATGTGCATTTGTTTTGTCTGGAGAAATTGCACATCAGGGCAGTTTGAGGCACCAGAGAAAGATCATGATTTTAAGTAGGATCTCATTTTGTTTCTGATAGCTCCCCTGCAACTTGTCAGGCTCTGAAGACACAGAGGTCCTGATCCACTGGATCCTGAGTCTACACAGCTGCATTTGGCACGTCAGGGCAGATGGGAGTCGAGGGAGGCCCCCACACAGCGCTGGGCGCCCAGACGACAAGTCGCTTGGCCCAGGCTTGCATCCCAGTAAGATGCTCTTGGTCTGGTACTTAACAGCTCTGAACCTCATTTTTTCTCATCTGCAAATAGTGTTGCTGGTACTTTCCTCAGAGTTTGTGAGGGTTAAACGAGGCAAGTGCAGAACACCCTGCCCAGGCCTGGCCACAGAAGGGACAGTTCAGGGATGCACCCACCAGGGCAGACAAACCTCACCTCACAGCTGGCCACGTGCGCGAGGGAAACTTTCAGAATGTCCTTGAGCAAGGGCGCCAGCAGCCCTTTCTTGACCCGGACCAGGTCCTCCAGGGAGAACAGGTTAAGCTCATCAGTCAAGTGTCCTGGCACCTGTTCAAACTCCTTTAACGTGCTGCCGGAAAGGAAACCAAGGGGAAATCAAACCCACCTAACACAGGCAAGGGCAGAAACAGGGGGGTGCTTTTTCCTGGCACTCACACTGAATATTTTGAATTCAACTTTTTAAAAAATTGCCCCAGGAACAAGTTAACTTTACTCCCCACTTTACATTTTGCCAATCTGCTTGGAAGCCAGGAAGTTAAAATTCCATAAACGCCGAATTTCAAAAAGCTGAACAAGAAAAGTGTCTCTGGCAGCCTGCCCATGTGCACGTTGAGCAAAAGAAAACTGAAAATCTGTTTTTCCAGTCCTGAAAACGTGTACTGAGATAAAAATTACCACTTAATTCATTTCCACTAAATTTCAAGTCCATCAGCATCACTGAGTGATGCCTCAGGAGGGTTACTATGACTCCCAAACCACTGGTCCAGCACTGAGATTAAGAGGCAGGCATCCAGTGCTTCCCTGGTGGCGCAGCGGTTGAGAATCCGCCTGCCGATGCAGGGGACGCGGGTTCGTGCCCCGGTCCGGGAGGATCCCACATGCCGCGGAGCAGCTGGGCCCGTGAGCCATGGCCGCTGAGCCTGCGCGTCCGGAGCCTGTGCTCCGCAATGGGAGAGGCCACAACAGTGAGAGGCCCGCGTACTGCAAAAATCTCTGCTAAATTCATGCCTGTGCCTTTATGGACATGGCCTTCAGAAGTTCATCCTCAGGCTATACCTATGGATGTGGTCAGAGATTCAGCTAAAGCTTAGTGCTTTTTTTTTTTTAATAACAAAAGATATTTAAAATGTATGAGGTGTTCAGTAATAGGACAATACTTAATACCACATCATAGTACAGACTATAACACAGCCAATAAAAGTTGACATGCCTCTCTATCAGCATAGCAACACTCATCACAACAAGCAAAAGAAAGCAACCCAAGAAGGGTGGATGGGTCCACAACAGGTGGAATATACATACAATGCAGTGTCATTCAGCCTTACAAAAGAAGGACATCCTGACACAGGCCACAGCGTGGGGTGAAGCTCAAAGACATGATACTACATGAAATAAGCCAGTCACAAAATGACAAAAACTGTTTGATTCCACTCATATGAGGTACTTGGAATAGTCAAAATCATAGAGGCAGAAAAGAGAAGGGTGGTTCCCACGGGCTGGGGGAATGGAGGCTGGGGAGATGGTGTTGAATGGGTACAGAGCTTCAGTTTTACAAGATGAAAAGAGTTCTGTGGATGGATGGTGGTGATGGTTGGCCAGCAATGTGAACGTACTTAACCCCTTAACTGGACACTTACAAAGGGTTAGGATGGTAAATTTTATGTTATGTGTATTTTATCGCAATTTAAAATAATGATAATAATAATAATAGCCCACTTGTTAGAGCTGTTTCATCCTTATACTGGTCCATTCTTCTTAACATGTTAAATTCCCTGCTAGTGAGTTAGAAGGCTTAGCAACACTCAAGAGGGGCTCCGCATCCCCAAGGAGAGTCACAAGGTGACTGCTATGTACTGGAGGAGCTGGGCCTGGAGGCACAAAGGATCAGCAAGTGCGTAGGGTTATCAGACCTCCCATTCACAGGCCCGCCCGCCCGCCCAGCCAGCAGTAGCACCTTTCAGCAAACCTGCAGGTCTTCAACAGCTTCCTGATATGAAATAGCTGCTCCTGGATTTCCTGATGTGAGGAACCAAACGGGGGGAAAAGTAAATGTGATAAAATAACACTGGAGGATGTATGTACACGTGTAGCTGATTCACTTTGTGATACAGCAGAAACTAACACACCATTGTAAAGCAATTCTACTCCATTAAAGATGTTTAAAAAAAAAACACTGGAAATGTACAAGTCAAAATTAAATGTTATTTCTAACCTTGAAATGCTACAACTCTAGAAAATAAGCTTTTGAAATACACAGTCTTTATAGCAGAGGTTCATTACTGAGTCCAGAGATCTACAGAGGGTCCAGGAGGGACCCAAGTCTCGGGGAACCTGAAGCTTATACAATGTTGGGGGCCTTCTTTAAGAAAAACACCAAACTATATACAAAAGGAGGAGGTCCTGCGATTTGAGACACCATGGATGAACCTGGAGGACATTATGCTAAGTGAGATAAACCAGACACAGAAAGACGAAAACTGCATGATCTCACTTATATGTGGAATCTAAAAAAGTCAGGTACATAAAAGCAGAGACTAGAAGGGTGGTTCCTAAGGGGGAAGAAGTGAGGGAAATGGGGAGATGCTGCTCCAGGGTACAGAGTTGCAGTTACGTAGGAAAAGTCTAGAGACCTCACGTATAGCATGATGACTACAGTTCGCGAGACTATATTAAATAGTGGAAATCTGCTGAGAGAGTAAATTTCAGGTGTTCTTACCACACACACCCAACAGGTAACTGTGTGTGGGGATGGATATGTTCATTAGCTTGACTAGCAATCATTTCACCACGTATACGTATACCAAATCGTCATGTTGTACACCTTAAACACATACAATTTTTATTCAAAAGAGAATAAAATTCAAAAGCTAGGTATAAATGAAAACTACGCATAAATGTGAAATTTGGTTTGGGACCACGGAAAGAGCCCAAGCAGGCGAGGGTCTCTGAAGCATAAGCTCCATCCGCTGGATGGTAAATCCGCCCCTTTGAGGGTCTGTCTGGATGCCCTGAGCTGGGGGAGATGTCCATTTACTGCCACGGGACCCTTTCAGCCACTGGACTCCCTTCCCCGGAAAGGCAGTTGCTCACCCTCACTCTGTCCAGCTCCTTGGCCTTCGTATACAGGCCGTGGCCGACGTGCAGCAAGTTGAAGATAGGCTGGTGCCATATGCTATCCAGCAGCCGTTTGGAGAAATTGCTGACATAGTACCTCCTGAAGTCCCACATCCTGAGGATGCGGGCAGGGATGCACGACTCCGCGTACGAGTGGCAGCAGTCACAGAAATACTTGCCCAGGTATTCGCAGTACCGGAGCCGCTTCACAAATTCTGCAGGACACACGGAAGGATGAGCACTGATCACCTGACGCTGGAAACCCACCCTTGCCTGTCCCCACCTCCAATTCCCTCCCAAGGGCAAGACTCAGCTCGCTGTTTTCACGACGCTGAAGCCGTGCTGGGGAAGCTCTGGCAGACACCGGAGGCCTTGAGTCATGGCCATTCATGAGCTTTGCTTTTGTGTAACAGATGTTGGGAAATAGAACCCTCCCGAAACACTCTTGGATTTGGAAGATGGGCCTTTTAAACTGACGTGTGGTCAAAAGAATATGAGATTCAGGGTCTGGGGATTTGGTGGGAGTCCAGTCTCAACCCCTTACTGGCAGGAAGACTCTCATAAGCCCGAATCTCTTCGGGCTAACTGTCCTGAAGCCACGAAAACAACTCAGAACTGGATTCCGCGATATCACACATATGAAAAATGCTTTGGAAATGATAACGCACTCTATGTAGACTGTTAGGAAGTAGCACCCCAAAGAGTTCCTGAATAAATCAGTGAGGAAAAATATAAAAACACGCACAAAGGCTGGGAATACATAGGAAGAGGAAACACAGCCAGTAAAGATGTAAAAAACACTCAGTCTCAGTGTACAAAGACATGCATATAAAATGAGTGAAATACTTGGCTTTGCCTCAGACTGTCACACATTTAAGAGATCCAGAGCTGGTGAGGTGTAGAGTGGTGGGCACTCACTCACAGGGCTGACAGGAGAGGCTACCTTTTAGGACATTTCCGTGATACAGTTCAATTCTTAAACATGAGGCAGTAATCTTAATTCTGCAGCATTAGACAGAAATGCTAACTTGCACGTGTGGCAATAGAGAAAAGCGTTCATTACAGCACATTTATAATAGATGGGGGGGGCGATCTAAATATCCATTAAGAAGCAACTGGTTAGATAAGCATGGCGCACTCAACAGTGAGATGCCCGGGGGTCTATGAAATACAGGGAAGAGTGTGGGCAGTGGCCGTGCAGGTATAGGTGTGTATTATGTGATCTGTATTTTGTTTTTAAAAATAACCATACAAAGTCCGAAAAAGTGCCCACCAAAAAGCCATCACTGAATACTTCTAGAGGGTGGGGGAAAGAAAGGAGTTTTGCTCTTTGCACTTTTTAATTTGCTAAAATGAACATGCATTGCTTTTGGAAATATTGTTAATAGAACATATTGACAAACAAAAGGTATAGAAATTAATGCAACCAATACCTGGGTGCCCACCCCCTGGCTTAAGAAAGAAAATGGCAGTTCAGTTAAGCCTCCTGTGCGCTCCTCCCTCAAGACTAGGGTCTAAGATGAGCCGAGGCTGACATTTATCATTCATGAAGGAAGCTGATTTTCTCCTTAAGGCACATCACAGCCTTCCTGTGCTTAGGAACACTGGACAGCATTTCAGCACTATGCTTGGGGGCCATTTTAAACAGCTGAAACCACCCCAAAATGCAAAAATGTAAAAACACATGGCACTAAATAAACTGTGAAAAGGACTTGTTTACAGCATGAGAGCTGAAACAAGGAGGCAGAGCTGCCTTGTTCAATTTCAGCTGAGAGCAAGTGCATCGGGCAACTCACATTTCAGGCGATAAATTTTTCGGTGCTTTGCACATACCTGTGAATGCCTGTGCAAACACCGTGAGCACTGATTTTGGAGTCACAAGTAAATTTTAGGGAGTAGGCAAATTTGCAAATACGGAATTCGTGAGTGATGGGTCAACAGTAAGTACATATGTACACACGCTATTATCAAGCTCTAAATTAACATATGACACTTCCCTAGGGTTGACAAATTATTTGTGAAGAACTTATTAAGTGCTTAATGATTCATGTCTGAGCTCTCAAATTTGAAACTTTGAAAAGTCTACTGTACTGTGTCTATTTCCCACCTTGGATTAAGAGCTCTGATATGAAGAATAATGAGTATTATTCTGCGTATGATAGGGCCTCAACACGTTTTATATTAAACGGGAAAAACACAGGGATATCCTGGCCCCTGAACTCTATTTTCCTGATCGAACTTAGCAAGATGTGAAGACAGAGGAGGACAGAAGGGGCCAGTGCATTTTCCTGTCAGAGTGCATCTTTCTCTAACATCTAAAATCCTAACGTTTCAACATCCAGCCACTCATTCACCAAATTTCATTGAATACATACTAAGCATTATACTATCAATACAGAATGAATTACGTCCATCTCTTTTGGTTTCCTCAGTCCTTGAATTAAAACAGAACAAAACAAAGCACCCTAAACCAGCGGTTCTCGACCAGGAGTGATTTTCCCCCTAAGGGACATTTGGAAATGTCTAGACAACTTTGGTTGTCACCACTGGGGAGCTGCTAGAGGCATCTAGGGATGCTGCCCAACTTCCTACAACTCACGGGGTAGTCTCCCCCATGCCCCTCCCAACAACGCACAGCATAGTCTCTCCCACCCCATCCCCCACACATAACAAAGTCAGCAGCACTGAGGTTGAGAAACTCTGCTCTGAACCACAGTCGTCCTCATCTCAGGAAAAGTCAGTGTCATAGAAAAAAAATAAGAGGGAAAAATTCTAGAACAGCGCTGTCCAACAGAGCTCTCTGTGAGGACAGAAACGTTCTTGATCTGTGCTGTCCGATACAGTCACTACTGGCCAGAGGTGGCTGCTAGGCACTTGAAATGTGACCCGTGTGCTTGAGAAACTGGATTTTTTATTTTAATTAATTTTAATTTTCAGTAGCCGCAGGGGCTAGTGGCTACCATACTGGACAGTGCAGTTCTAGAATAAAGCTGACTAAAGAGAAACAATGACGAAATGCAATGTATGAAACTTGGTTGGAAACTGGGTGGACAATTAGCTACAAACATCATCTTGAGGACCACGAATGAATCTGGACTAGTATTAGACAATATTAGAGAATCGTTATTAATTTTCTTTGGTGGGATAACTGTTCATCATCCTTATTTTTAGGACCTGCTAAAGGGTAAAATACCATCCTTTCTGCTGCTTACGTTTCAAATGATTCAGTTTGTGTGAGATTGGAGGAGAGTAAGAAGACACGACAACTAAATTGAGTGTGGAATTCTGGATTGGACCCTGGAACGGATAGCGGTCATTAGTGAAACCCAAATAAACACTGTAGGTTAGTTACTAGGATTGTATCAATGCTAATGTATCAGTTTTAATAATTATACTATGATTATTATAAGGTGAAGGGTGGGTGAAGGGTATATGGGTTGTGCCTGTACTATTTTTGCAACTCCTCTGTAAGTCTAAAAATATCTCAAAATGAAAAGTTAAAATTATCCTAAGAACTATAGGAAGTTCACGGGAAAAGTCCAAAATGATTTCCACGGTTGCTAACGCTCCTGCCGTCTGTGCTCTGCCTACCTCTGTGGCATGTTGTCTGATCTTGTTCCTACTCTCCAGTCATACAGGACTTCTTTGCAGTAGCCTTGGGCCCTTTACATATCGTGACCCCCCCCAACCCGTATATACACACACACACACACACACACACACACACACACTATCTCTTCCCCTCCCCTCCCCCTCCCCCTCTCTCTCTCTCTCCTTTGGGGACAATCACTTCCTTATGAAACCTTTCACTCCCAGCCCCCTGAGCCCAGATTAAGTTCCCTGGCTTAAGTTCCCATAGCACTCTTCCCTTTCTCTTTTGTCGCAGGCATCACCCTGTTATTTACTTGGCTGATGACTTCCTGTCAGCAAGCTCCATGAGGGAAGGACCATGCTATTATCAGTGGTGCAGGCCTACGTCTCCACATGTGAAAAAACTCTGGGAAGTACTTTAAAAGTTGGTGGAATCATAGGCACGCATTCACACTTTCTGAGTCATGCATTCAATATTTACTGAGGCACCAGGATACAGTGGTTAACCAAAGAGACATGGTCCCCACTAGACTAGCGGGGAAGAGGGTCATTCAAAGAAAATTAGTTACAACTGTGATGCATGGCAGGCATTATCATTCAGCATGGCAGAAGGAAGTTCAGATAGATTTCTGCTTTCTATTTTTATTTCTTAAAGTGGAGATGCTCAAAGTCTTTTTCCTTCCAAGATTGCCTATCAAAGGAATGCTTTCCCACAAAGCTCCTTTCCCAGCCTTCTCAGGTTAGACCTATGGATGCCTTCACAGCAAAACAAGTGATTCCCAGTCTCAAGAGAGCAACTCACCTTTCTGACGGGGTGAAACCTAATTTTCTAGGCCCTGGGGCCACTCCCTGAAACCCTCTTAGAGGAGTCTGGCTAGCTCCTGCATAAGCCATTCAGTCATTCAACAAATATCTTCTGAGTCCCAACTGTGTGCCAGGTACGCTTGTAGGAGCAACAGATAAAGCAATGGATAAAACAGACCACATATCTGTCCTCACGGAACTAGAGTCTTCTGACGGAGACAGACAATAATAAGAAAAATCAGTAAAATAGGAAAGAATATTTTAGGGAGATAAGTGGTTGAATAAAAAATAGAAAGGAAGGGGAATATAAAGTGTGTATGTGTGTGTTTGTGGCCAGGAGGGTGGTGAGGTGGACAGTTTCGATAGGGTAGCCAGGGAAGATCTGTGAATGAAGATGGGACGGAAGGAAGAGAACCAGTCAGGGGGACGCTGTAGGGAGGGCATTCCAGGGAGAGAGAAGCACAAATGCAAATCCCGGAGTCAGGAGAGAGCCTGCCGCCTTCAAGGACCAACAGGGAGGCCTTGTGGCTGGAGCTCAATGCCCGACGGGGAGAAAGTTAGGAGATAAGAGTCGGAGAGGTAATGGGCAGTCACAGAGCCTTGTACGTCACGGTGGCCTCTTCATGAAAGAGAGGGCAGCATCATGAAGCGCCTATAACTTCTCATCAAAGGCATCTCTGACAAAAACAATGCACCGCCCAACTCTGATGTATAGAGGGATAAACAGGAAATATAAGAATTGGTTATTTGGGGGTGCTTTTTAACTTACAGTATTTAAAAATGCAAGGGTATGGATACGAAATTATGTAAATTTCATTCACATGCTTATGAATCAAATCATTGTTGAACAGAAGATTTGTTGCTGTGTAATTATTGCTTGTATGCATTTGAGAGAAAAATATACCCATACTTATGTTTTAAGAAAACAATGTTATCACCTAATAAGCAGGCAACCCATTCTCCATACTTACTAGGTTCTATCGGAGTTCCACAGCCAGCACAGAAAAAATTTTGGGCCGCTACCATGAGATCCCTCCTGAGGGCAGAAAATGATAAGAGTTACATTTCAGAAAAGGCCAAGGGGGCATTTTTCACTGATTGGAAGAGAAATTGACATCATCATACTTTTCTTGGCATGGGGGCTTAATTTTATCATTTTTCATTTGGGAAAGAAATAGAATTATTCAGTAGAGTTTTCTAGTTGAAATCTCTCGGTCTTTTAAAAGCCCCTGCTACCACCAAAGCAGAAGTCGGTATCACGAGTAACTATTCCACCGAGGGGTCTTTAGAGACTTCTCACTGGGCATACACAGAATTCTCTCTCCACGGAGAACTAGAGGCACGTAATACACAGGAGAACGTTCAGGGGTACGAGACACCAAGAGATGATGCACTCGGGCAGTTTACAGATGGACCCAAAGACATTTAGATGAATAAGAGGTAATACAAGGCAATGCTATCAAACATTTTTGGTGAAAGATAGTCTACTGAAGTGTTTGCTATTGAACTGTTAGTGTCACAGTTCCACATGGGATTTGGAAATATGGAGAAAGTTGTAAATTTTTAATACAGTTTAGGGTCAGCAAAAGTGGCCACGGTAAAAATATGTGGAACCCTACTCATGTGCCTTTGAGAGGACCCAGTGAAATCCCAGAGGAAAGACATCCCACACCAAGGGAAATGACCCCTCAACAAGGCTTGGAGAGGGGGCTTTTCTGCCCAAGCAGCCCCAGAGAACTTCCTGGCATTCTCTTGAAAGAAAAAAATAAAGTCAGTCTATAAGGCACCTCCACAGGGAAGGCAATGACCCTTACCAGTCCCTTCATAACACTGCAGTTTGTACACTGTATTAAATACCAACCAAGAGGAATGAAAAAAACTGTATTTCGTTACAATGTCCCTTTGTCTACAATGTCATCTAGTCTCAGAATAAACACTACTTTAAATTATTATATATATTTATATACAATGTATTTATTTCCTTTTTTTGCACCATCTTAGTTTTTTTGTCTTTTAGGATTTTGTTACTTCATAGAGAACAAAGATGTTTTTATTTGCATTCTGTTATGTTTCTTAACTATAGGTGCGCTTTTCAAGATTAAATTTTCCTTTAAAAAAAGTAATTCATTGATTTTTACTTCACATTGCACTGGAAAATAGTGGGCTAGTCTTCAAATTATTGTATGTAATTTTTAAGGCTCACTATTAGCCACTTAATATGAGCCTATTTACTTTTCAATTGTTATGTAATGTTCATAATTAAGGACACATAGTTAAATTCTCAAGTTGTCAAAACTTACAGAACCCAAAAGCCCATGATAAACAGGGTGCCAAGAAAGCTAACTCAGAAAAATATACCCAACTCTACTCTTCCTAAAACAAATTTTTCTTTGTCCCTTGGTATATTATTTTTTGCCTTCACCTATTTTCAGAACGAGTCAGGTGGGACCCATAACAACTTGTTTTAACTGGACTGGAGGGTCCAAGCAGCAACCCAGACTTACTTGAGTGGTGGATGAACATTAAATATGATTTGAAACCTAGGGGGCGCCCAGTCTCCAGTCCCTCTGATCCTCGACTTCAATTTAATTTCCTGTACTATATCCGTGCTGGATTCAAAGTCTTTCTGGACACATTCTTCATTTACAACCTGCATAAATAACCCAGAAGAGGATTTAGGAGCAACAGGCATATTTCAGGAACTGAAATAAAAGAACATTCAGGGCTTCCCTGGTGGGGCAGTGGTTGAGAGTCTGCCTGCCGATGCAGGGGACACGGGTTCGTGCCCCAGTCTGGGAAGATCCCGCATGCCGCGGAGCGGCTGGGCCCGTGAGCCATGGCCGCCGAGCCTGCGCGTCCGGAGCCTGTGCTCCGCAACGGGAGAGGCCACAATGGTGAGAGGCCCGCGTACCGCAAAAAAGAAAAAGAAAAAAAAAAAAAAGAACATTCAAATGTGTTCCCAACATTAAAATTTACCTTGAGAAATGAAAAGTGCTTTCATCTGAACTAAAGGGCCTGGGCAGAGCCTTCCCTGTATCTGAAACCCTCTGCAGGAGAATTGCTTAAGACATCACACAGCTGAGATCACTTCGCTTGGTATTTTCAGTTAGTTCTTTTGTTTCCAGACTTCAAATTGCTGTAAGTAGGTCAGTGTGACCTGGAATGCTTTCCTGCACAGCAGAACCTTACCCTGCTTAGTCAATAGGCTGACAAAGGGTGCGGATCAGAATCCCCTGCTGTAGTCAGACCTTTCCAGAAGCAGCTCTCTGCAGACACTTCCCGGCTTATACAGGTGCAGAGGCACCTCTCCCTACCATTATCCTTTCCTCTTAGCATCTAAAATCCAAACTCCTGAACTTAGCATCTATGCCCTCCATAGTTTGGTCGTTTTTGAGCTTAATTTCCAAGGAAGATTAAGATTAACTGTCCCCAAAACACACCCAGCTACACACAAACACACGTTTTCCAACCACACCGAATCACTCTGCTCAAGAAACACACCATGTGGACTTCCCTGGTGGAGCAGCAGTTAAGAATCCGCCTGCCAATGTGGGGGACACAGGTTCAATGCCTGGTCCGGGAAGGTCCCACATGCCGCGGAGCAACTAAGCCTGTGCGCCACAACTACTGAGCCTGCGCTCTAGAGCCCGCGAGTCACAACTACTGAGCCCACGAGTCACAACTACTGAGCCCACGTGTCACAACTACTGAAGCCCGCACCCCTAGAGCCTGTGCTCTGCAACAAGAGAAGCCACCGCAATGAGAAGCCCACAAACCGCAACAAAGAGCAGCCCCCACTCACTGCAACTAGAGAAAAGCCCGCCAGAAGAAACAAAGACCCAATGCAGCCAAAGATAACTAAACTAATTAATTTTAAAAAATATTAAGAAAAAAAAGAAACACACCACGCGGACTTCCCTGGCGGTCCAGTGGTTAAGACTCTGAGCTTCCACGGCAGGGGGCGCAGGTTTGATCCCTGGTCGGGGAACTAAGATCTCGCATGCCCTGTGGCATGGCCAAAAAAAAAGGGAAACACACCCGGCACCTCCCTGTCACTTTTGCTGCAGCTGCCCTTTGCCAAGAGTGCCCTTCACGTACCCCTACCTGCTACAATTCTGCCTGGCCTGACGATTACCTTGAATTCTGAGATCGCCTATCAGCCTTCCCAAGTTCCCCTGATGAAATGGAACACTGCCTTCCCTGCACTTCCAGAGTACTTTTCTCCCACCCCGACTTTAGCCTCTGCCACAGAGTCCTCTGCCGCGGTGGGTGGCCTGCTCGGCAGGCAGTGTGGAAGGGAACCAGCCTGGGCTTTCAAACGAGGCAGCCTGGGGCTCGACTCCCGCCGCTCTACCACTGACCAGCCCCACTGAGGGTCTGGAACTAACACTTTAAAATTAAAATAACAGTAGCATCTACCTAATAGGAGACTTGTGAGGATTAAAACATGAATTGCTGAGCACAGACCCTGGCGCATCACAAGCGCTCAATAAACATCAGATCCATCAGCACCCAGCAACAAAGAAAGACAGAAACATCTGAGGTGAACAGCAGGCAAAATGAGAATTCAGGGACCTTTGATTCAAGGTCAACTTCTGTTGATACTTACTATGGAGCCAGCTGCATTCAGGGAGCCTGCCAGCTGATAATTAACTTCTGACATCCAGCACTTCTTGAAGAGGTGGTATAACTCTTTGGCTATTAGCTCAGCCGAATTGAAGTTTGGCTCATAAACGACACTAAAATGTAAGAGATGCAAAAATGGAACACTATATTCACGAGGAGTGTTTTACGGTCTTGTGCTTCAGGTTTTCAACTATCCTTCCCTCACCAAAAACCAGAGGAGGTGTCATACAACAGACCGTGCATCTTACCGTGCCCACCGACGGTTATCTTACTCGACTCAATGCCTCCACGCTCAACAGGGCAGCTTGTGTTTGTTGAGGGTACCAAGGGGAGGGGTGGTGAAAAGAGCACCAGATGTAGAGTCAGAAGACCTGAGCGCAAAGCCCTACCTCTGCTCTTTAACAGCACGGCGTCCTGAGGCACATCTCGTCCGAACCTCAGTTTCTGCATCCATAAAATGGGGTTTAAGAAAACCCACCCATCCCACCCATGAGGATTAATGAGAATGTGTACAAGAGTCTTTGAAAGGGGCTTCCCTGGTGGCGCAGTGGTTGAGAGTCCGCCTGCCGATGCAGGGGACGCGGGTTCGTGCCCCGGTCCGGGAACATCCCACATGCCGCGGAGCGGCTGGACCCGTGAGCCATGGCCGCTGAGCCTGCGCATCCGGAGCCTGTGCTCCGCAACGGGAGAGGCCACAACAGTGAGAGGCCCGCGTACCGCCAAAAAAAAAAAACACTTAAAAATAAAAAGTATTTGAAACACTCTAAAAACACTGTAGGAACTTTAGTAGTGATGGCTTCATTTCTAAGCAGTAATCCTTGTTATTGGAACTGGCTGAATTTGGCCCAAGATGTCAGAGGCCTGGGGTCTACGGTGCCTCAGAGGTGATGGCCCGGGGGTCTGTGTGTAGATGGTACCTCTTAGAGGAGCTGCAGGAACATCCACAGGCCTCTGTGGTATTGCTGAAATCTCCAAGTTCTGCGGGAAAATCAAAGAAAGGGTAGTGAGGTCTTTTAATCTGTTTCACCTCATCGTAGTCAAGTTTATGAGAACACAGAAAGAGCTGCCTGCATCTCAGAAGGGACCAATTATTCAGCATCTCCATACTTCACATTCTTTTGTGTTTCTACTATGAGACTACAGCTAATGACCAAAGATGGGATTTCAAAATATGCCCATCTGAAATTTCATCAAAATATAACTGAGGCGCCAAACAGATATCAGACCATAACGAGCACCTGCTTTTGCATTCAAATCTACAAATGAGATGAGAGATTAATATCGAGACATCTTATTTTTTATATCAGGGACATTGTCTGATCTTGGGAGGAGCTTCTCTGAATGCCACGTAAGGTGGTACTGTGTGTGAAGAGTGTCAATATGTATGTGGGGAGGAGGGTACCTAGTCACAGATCATGAGTTTCCGAATCTTACCTACGATAACGAATTCATCCAAGTCACATTTGCAGTCCTCTTTCATCACATCACAGTAAGTAGGTGTTTCAACCCCTGGGCTGACCTGTAACACAGCACAACCTAGAAGAAGAAAGGAAGGAGATTTCACCAACAAGAAGAAAAAGGACTGCCCAACCTGCAACACCCAGCTAAATCGAAATTGGGGAATGAAAGGGCTAGTTGATTTTTTTTTTAATTTTAAAATTTAGCTGTAAGAATTAAAAAGTACAGGGAGCTCTTTTTGTGGGGTCCATAGGAGTATTCTGCCTACTTTTATGTAAGTTTGAAAATGTCCATAATACAAAGTTTTACAAAATGAAAGAGGGGGAAAAACACTTTTTTTTTCACAGTGAGGCAAAGAGTATAGGTGACAAACATTGTACTGGGTTGAACATGTCCCCCAACATCGTGTCTACCCAGAACCTGTGAATGTGACGTGATTTGGAAATAGGGTCATTGAATTGTAATCAAGTTAAGCTGAGGTCGTACTGGATCAGGGCAAGCCCTAGATCCAATACGACTGGTGTCATAAAAAGAGGGAGATTTGGACACAGACACAGATATTCGGAGAAAGAACATCCTGTGAAGATGGAGGCAGAGACTGGAGGGATGTGTCTACACACCAAGGAACATCAAGGATCCCCAGCAACTGCTAGAAGCCAGGAGACAGGCGTGGACCAGAGCCTCTGGAAGGAACCAACCTTTCCAACAACTTCATGGCTGACCTCTGGCCTCCACGACTGTGAGAGGATAAATTTCTGTCGTCTTACGTCACCCAGTTTGTCATATTTGGCTACAGGAGTCCCAGGAAACGAATACAAATACGTTTATGCTTTTCTATCCCTAATACCAGTTTGGGGAATTATCCTAAGAATGTCATTAAACAGAGGAAAAAAAGTGAAAGAGGAAGGTTTTGATCACAAAGGAGCTATCTGCAGTCCTTTTAAAGTGTTAAAATATTGAAAGCTACCTAAACGCCAAAGAATTGGGAAATGATTTTGCAAATCACTCCATTACCTCAAGAAACACCCTCACTGAAAAATGTGATCATTAAAAAACCATTCTAGCTGGGGGACAATCAACTTCTCAGCTTGCTTTCCTCATGGGTTAAATGGGGACAATTTCACCCACCTCTGTGTTTCTCACACTCTTTCGATCATGGTCAGCAGTAACATACAATTTACATAGCAACCTAGTACAGGCACAAAAATAGACTTAACTGATAAAGTTCCAGGAAGCATCGCTCACCCTATGTGAAGTGCATGCTGATACTGTCTAGTTTTTTGTTTTTTGTTTTTAATACTCTCTTGATCAACCTGCAATTTGTTGAACGCCTGCCTTACCTCATGGAGTAACCTCTATGACCATAAATGTCACAAGAGTGATAAAAGATAAATATTTTTATCTGTGTGGTAGAAATATTTTAAAATTTCATTTCACATATTCATATTTTTAAAAAATTTCAGCTAAGGGCTTCCCTGGTGGCGCAGTGGTTGAGAGTCCGCCTGCCGATGCAGGGGACACGGGTTCGTGCCCCGGTCCGGGAAGATCCCACATGCCGCGGAGCGGCTGGGCCCGTGAGCCATGGCCGCTGAGCCTGCGCGTCCGGAGCCTGTGCTCCGCAACGGGAGAGGCCACAGCAGTGAGAGGCCCGCTTACTGCAAAAACAAAAACAACAAAAACAAAATTTCAGCTAAGCATGAGCTTCCAGTCAACCATTCAACAAATATTTATAAAATATTTCAGGCCAGGCACTATATTGAATGCAAATATAAATAAGACAAATTCTAATCTCTCAAAGAGCTTAAGACCTCATGAGGGGGCTGAGACACCGACACATTTAACCACAAGAAAGCAAGGTGTGTATCGTAGGCCTTCAGAAGTTCAGAGGTCGGGGGAGCCATGCACATAGATAATCACAGAGCATCCTGGAGCACAGCTTATGATTCATTTCCCATGAATGGTACCTCTGCCCTGTGATACAAATCAGGGAGCATGCCACAGAGCTCGTACTGGGAGATTGCTTTTGAAGAATGAGAAGGAGGAAGGAACTAGTGTGCTGTTCCTGGGGAACCGGCAATCCAGGGGAGCCCAGGGAAGCACAGGGAAGCAAATGGCGGGAGATGCCTGTTTGGAGAGGCAGGGAGCAGGTGGACCCCAAAGGCTGAAATCCCAGGGTAAAATGTGGAACAAACGCAGCAGGCCATTTTAGAGGATTAGAAGCTGTGTTCTAGGAGAACAGATGTGTGTAGAATAAACGAGGGGAAAGAGGCTGAAAGTAAAGAGAGAAAATCAAAGGCAGCAAACATACACGGAGGACCTAGATGCAGCTGTTACAGAATGACTGGCCAGAGGCTGCTGTGATGGTCCAGGTGAAAGGTGGGACTGGGGCACAGGTGGCAGGATGTTGTATTACTGTTAAGTCAGGACTGATTTTTTTCCCTTGTAGAAACAGGACGGAGCATGGGCATGAGGAAGAAGAGGCACAGGTAGAGCCCCGTGTACAGGAATACGAATCCCTTCTTTTCTCCCCACGGGTGGCCTCAAGGGGGACAATGGTCCATATCACATTCCCCGGCTCCCCTGGCCATCGCTGGCTGACCAGTTGTGGACACCCAGTCAAAGCAGGCCCAGCCAGGTGCCGTTCCCTGGGAATGTGGACTTGGGGTCCTGAAAGGCTAGGTTGAGCTGTGAGACCCTGACTGAGCCATCAGGGGGACTGCCGAGCTGAAACCAGATGCTAGGGGGAGGGTAGAAGTCTAGCCGCAGGAAAAGGAGAATGAAACAACTGCACGAAGAGAAGTAATGAGAAGCCACAAAACCCCAGAAAAGACAGATACCAGAGCTGCCTCTCTACTGGTCAGTTCTGTACTGGCCACCACTGGGTTCGATGAGGATGCTTTGTATCCTTTTTTTAAAAAATCCCTGTAAATTTGAGCGAGGTAGTATATTTGACATCTATTGATCGCGCACCTGTTTTGTGCCAGGCGTTGTGCTACACACAGAGCCGGTGCCTCCCTCGTCACTGGAAGGTTCCTGATTAAGATGCTAAGTAAAGGCAGTCCCAGCGAAAAGGAGGCTTTAGTTTTCATCTTTTTTTTTGAAAGGAGGGGGGTTGTAAGGGAGTGATAGATGACTAGCTTAGACAAGTTAAGTTAGTTACCTGCCCACCAGGTAAACGTGTTCAACAGCTCCCAGGCTTGTGAAGCAAGCCCTTAGAAGAGAGGTGAAGGGCTGGGAAGAAACTGGGGAGATATCAAGGGAGAAGGAATAATGGAAAAGCATTGCAGCGGATGGAATCTCCCAGGAAGTAAATATAGAGAAAGAATCTAGGACTGAAGCAGGACTCAGACTTAGGAAATGGGAAGAAAATGGTTAAGTCCTAACTTCAGTTCTCAGCTTAGGTCCCCTCCAGTCCAGGAAGGCTCCCTGGATCCCAGAATAAAGAGAGATGCCCTGAGCCCGTGACTCGCCACGCTGGGCCCTTGCTTCTGTTAGCCCAGTGATCACGCATCCCTTTCTCAGCCTCTGCTCCGGCGTGACAGCTCCCTGGGGAAAGGAGCACATCCTGTTGCCTGCGGATTCTCAGCACCCAGCGCATCATGGGCTCCTTGTTATCGGGATGAATGAAAGAGGTCTACGGGGTGGCGGGGGGATGGAAGCCTGTGTAAGAGGGATGCTGAATGACAAGACAGAGGAAGAGGGAAAGCAGGATGGCGCCCAAGAAAAAAGCACATCGATTTCATAACTGAATGGAGCACAGTGACCAATCCCAAGGCAAGCGGCAGAAATGGTGGGTACTGTACAGGTTACTCCAGAAGCTTTAGACAGAGGGGATGCACGTGGCAAATACAGCAGGAAGCTTTCTCATATTTGCCCCACTTGCCTTCAGAGCCACTGTCGGACGAAGTGGAAGAGCCGGATTCCTGCTTTATGTGGCTATAAAACATCACTTCCAAGTCTGCTGGCTCATTCCCGAGCGACCCGCTGGCCCCTCCTGTACTCCAGGTCTCTGTGTGCTGTTGACTCAGAATACTACACTTCATATTCTCCATGACTGAGATAATCATATCTGCGATGTAAAAGTGGGCATTTTCCTGCAGAAGAAAAGATGATCAGTTAAAATTCTCACAAGCATAATCAACTTTTTTTTTCCACTGAGGGTGTATTAGATTGAAAAATCAAGAAGTCGTATTTAAGCGGAGTTAATGCGTAGACATATAAATGTTTATTTAACTGCGTTATCATAGGTCATTACATCAAGTACAGCCCATATCTTCCAGAGACAGAAGATTTAGCCCACTCCAACCAAAAGATGACCCAAGTTGAATTTCTTGTGATATGAAACCCTAGACTGGTGGTGCCTCAGTGGGAGACATCATTCATCAATCATGGAAAACTTCCCAGCTGAGTGCACACACTACCAATCGAATGCTGAAATGAAACTTATTTGCCATGTCTCATCCAGTGAAGCTTCCAGACTGAAATCAGAACAGCACATTCTAAGGGATTAACACTCTCGGTGGTTTTAAAAAGAAAAAAGAAGCTGTGTTCACCTTTTCTACATCCACAGGGAGCACGAATGCCTCTGGTGAGAAGGAATTTGAAGAAACGGTTCTTCCACCGACTTGAATAGCACCTGCCAATACAGCAAGTTATTAAAAATAGAGAAAAAGAAGTTCAAAGGTTATCTAAGAACAATTCTAGGGAGTGGTTTTTAAATGCTGTTTTAAAAATCAGCACAGGGTCTTCCCTGGTGGTCCAGTGGTAAAGAATCTGCCTTGCAATGCAGGGGACGCAGGTTCGATCCCTGGTCAGGGAACTAACATCCCACATGCCGCGGGGCAACTAAGCCCGAGCACCACAACTACTGAGCTCGCGCACTTCAACGAGAGAGCCCGCGTGCCGCAAACTACGGGGCCCACATGCTCTGGAGCCTGTGCGCCATGCGCCACCACTAGAGAGAGAAAACCCACACGCCACAACTAGAGAGAAGCCCTCGCGCTGCAACAAAGAGCCTGTGTACCGCAAGGAAAGATCCTGCATGCCACAACTAAGACCCGATGCAGCCAAATAAATAAAACAAAAAGTAAAATAAATAAATATAAAAAATAAAAATCAGCACAATTCTAGAATAAATTAGGACGACAGAAGAAGAAAGAGCCTTCTGATGGTAGACTTTGCAGATGGCAGAGGGTCATCATTTCTGCAAGAAGCTTCTGGAGTAACTTGGGAGGAATCCTCAGAGAAGGATTCCCAGAGAGCCATGGGAATGGAGGAGACCAATGAGGAAAGAGGGTAGAAAGAGAAGAAGATCATGGAATCTACCTACAGGAGATGGAGGGTGAGAAGGAACAGTCTAGAAGCAGGGCCTTAAGAATTGTGGGCTCATTCCTCCAACTCACTGCATTTGACCTAAAACTTCCTGTTTACAGAAACAAAATCTATCTGAAAAAGGTCAGCACTGCTTCTCTAAAACGTTCTTCCTCCAGTCAAAAACAAGAAGAAGCTGCAGAGGATAAATTCGGCTGACTCATCCATTCTGCGTCCTTATTAAGCCACTCCATTACTGGCAATGAACACCACCAAGACAAAAATGAGGCCTTTCATGTGACATCTTATTGCAGTTTGTAAGGCAAAACATTTCTGTGAGAGCCATAAGCGCTGTTGTCCCAACCTGGTGAATCAGAACTGAATGCTACAGATGTTTTGAAGGCTTTACAGCTCTCGGGGTGGCAAACAGAGTCAAGCAGGATCCCTCCAACCCCTCTGCCTCGTCTTCAAGAACTCCACTCTTGCATGAAAACTTTGGACCTCTTAGTTTCAGAAGCTATCTGGGGTGGGCAAACTTTTCCTGAAAAGGACTAGGTAGTAAATATTGTAGGATCTGAGGGCCACACAGCATTCGTTGCAATTACTACTCAGTTCTGCCACTGTCCTGAGAAAGCAGCTACAGACAAAACAAACACAACGGTATTTGTAAAATCAGGAGTCTGGCGGGGTTTGGCTACAGGTCATAGTTTGGGGACCCTGAGGATAGAGGAAAAAGCACAGAGCAAAATCAGACAGTGGATTCCGGTTCCAGGCCCACCCCCCCCACCCCACCCGCGTTCACCAGCTATGCCTCTGCAGTAAAATTTCCTCATCCCTGGAATTGGGATAATTATTATTATTGGCATATTTACCTTATTAGGAAACTGAAGGAGATAAGGAATGTGAAACCACTTTGTAAACGTGTAGATCCTATGCAGACAAAAGGAATTGTTTCTTACAGCCCCAGGAAATGCTGACAGGCTCAGGTGTCTTTCCCTCCCAAATAATCTAAAAAAGGAAAACCCTGCTGCTGCCCTTTGAGAGGCAGCAGATCCAGGAAAATCCCAGGCCTTGTGGCAAATGCCTGCTCTCCCCACTGTTGCCCCCATATCAAAGAAAGAAAGAACCATCTCACTCGGGACTTCTTTTTCTTAAGCCCATGGAATGAATCCCCTTACCAAGTTTAAGAGATACTCTCAAAAGACAGAGTGGTTTTTAAAGGTACTTAGATTGCTGGGAATCACTGTTTTTGGACAAAGCGGCTGGGGTGCCTGTTTTCTTTCTTGGAGAAAGGATAACTTGAAATTGCAGAACCACTTCTTGTAGAGGAATACAAAAAATGATTTGGGGCAGGGGTACACTAGGCCCTCCAGGTCATCTTCCGTCACTTTATAAGTTGTCGTGGTGGTGGCCTGCGGGAGAGAGGCCTTTCAATTTTCTCTGTTTTTTCCTCACTCTCCCCTGAGACAACCTAGTAGGAAACTAATTTCTCACTTTTCAACCAGTGGATTTACAAGTCACTCTTTTCCTGAGAGCTATCCGGCCAGGTGAGTGAAAAGAGAAAAAAGGCCTATAGTCAGACTGTGCCATTTTGCTCAAATTTGGTTCTGAACTCAAACTTAGCCCACGGAGACTGTCCAAAATCTGCTCCTCTTAAACTATTAATAATATGTTAAAGATGGTCACCATCTTTGACTTTTCAAAAGTTTCAATAGAACAAATAAACCCCGTATTTTAGGAAAGGGGGAGGACTGGTTCCTGCTAGTGAGAAATAAATACACACACACACACACACACACACATTTACAAAGGCAGGCAGCTTTTAAAACTGTTTTGAAAGAAAAAACTTCATTGACTATTTGAACTAGGATTCCAACAGAAATACACGTTAATGCAAAGTGTGAATAAAGGGCTTCCCTGGTGGCGCAGTGGTTGAGAGTCCGCCTGCCGATGCAGGGGACGCGGGTTCGTGCCCCGGTCCGGGAGGATCCCACATGCTGCAGAGCGGCTGGGCCCGTGAGCCATGGCCGCTGAGCCTGCGCTTCCGGAGCCTGCGCTCCGCAGCGGGAGGGGCCACGACAGTGAGAAGTGTGAATATAGCATAATGAGTATTTAAAAATAAACTAAGCATGCCACAAATTTTAACAAGAATTGCTAATTTATTGACTCTTGAGTGGCGTTTGGTATGGATTATCCCATTTTAGGAATTTCAGTATTTTAGGAATATGTGTGTCACCTCATAGCCCTGGTTTTAACAGGAAAAGGTTTTCTCCAGTTTGGAGGAATTGTGGTTACTGTGTTTAAGTCTTACTTTTTTTCTAGCCACACCCTGTCCAGGTAAATCTAACAGGGGAGGCGAGTTCCTCTCCTACATCAGCACTGGTGTGAACCGGAGCCCACTCTGTCCGGACCACCTTCCATCACCACACTGAACGCAGAGCACTTCTGGTGCTCTCCTGCAGGGCACATACCTGCTCCAAGATGGCAGGTGACACTGATTATCAACTAAGTTGAGCTAAGATGACAGTTCCCTGCAGTCTAAGGAGAAGGGGTATCCTTGACTCTGCCCATCGTGACCCATGGTGCTGGGCCAAAGACAGCATGAACTGAGCCCATGCCCTGGATCGTGGGCACAGTGGAAACCCAGGAGCTTTTCCCTCGCGAGGAACACCTGGCCTCAGCCCCGGGCAGAGCTGGTGTGAGAACAGACAGGAAGGAGGGCAGTCCCCACCAGAGTTACCTGCATCAGTGGAAGGTGTCAGCTGGGAAGGCTTGAAAAAAGTATTGTCAGCCTCACGACACGGGGAGGCAGCCAAGTCAATCTTGGAGCTTGTGAACAGAGGCGTCCAAGGACAGCGTCCTGGGAGCACTGCCCGTTCTTCCTTTGAAGTAAGAGAGAAGTCACCGCCTATTTCAGCTGAGCCCCGGGCAGAGGAGCTGCCCACGGAGTCCACAGTGCCCTTCGACAATGATGTCTCCGCCACGGAGTCCCCAAGAGATAACGGTGAAGGGCCCAAGGGAGAGGCAGTGTCCCAGGCAACACGGCTCTCTCTGTTCCCCACTGCTGGCACCTGGGGGGGCAAGTCCTGCAGCTGTTGCTGCTCACACTGGGGGTTAATCCAGGCAGCTCTGTGCCTCGTAAACCTGATGTTTGATGCGCAAGAGAGGTGGTCCGTGTCCAGGAGGCTGGGCGAACCATCAATGTCGCCAGGGTCATTGCTGATTCCTTCCCAGGGGTCCACAGGAGAGTCCTGCCGGCCCGCCGACTGTGACACCATCTTCGAGGCTCAGGGCTGGTGTGAATTCCCTTGTGCTGTTAGATTAGGACCTTGAACTCACCACCTGGTCAGCTAGAGGGCTGGGGAGCTTACCTGCAATGAGCAAGAATCATTCACGATAAACAAGGGCTTGATCATATTTTTAACTCCAAATTCTTTTAAGGAAGCAAAGAAACAAGAAATAAAGTTTGTACTTCGTCCTATACAACACAGTAAATTCTGCTTGGATTTAAAAGGAAAAAATTAATAAATGAATCAGCCATAAAACTAGAAGCAAATGTAAGGGATATGACATTGGGATAGGAAAGGGATTTCAAAGCATAAAAATATTATTTTTATACCAGGATAAAGTCGTATAAGGATACTGCTGATAAAAAAACAGGTAAAAATGTAAAACATCCATGCATTAAATGTCAAACTCAAAATGGGAATGCCATCTGGAAGTAAAGATACATGTTCATAGTTTCTTATTTCTATTTAGTTTGTGTTTGTATTTCAACAAAGTAGGCATGTGAAACTGAGAACAACCAATAGCACCAAAAACTTTTGTTTTGTATAACTTTACATAAGCCTGTAATACTTACTTAGATTATAACAGCAATACAAATTTACGATTAGCTTACAATATCTAAAGACCACACTACAAACCTAGACTCTGTCTTTAAAATGGTCCGCTCACTTTTCAGCCCTGTCTTTAGCTTTAGTAAATTAGGCAGTGATTACAATGTTGAGAGCCACACAAATGAGAAGCGCTCTCGTCACTAATTACAGGCCCAGCACATGTGTCTTCCTAATGTTCTCCCACTGTCCTTCACGTTGTCAAGCTCCAAACAGCCTTCAACAGCCAAAGCAAGGTTGGCAGGGGGAAGGTTTAGAGATGGAGGTGTCTGCTTGGGCAGTGACCCTAAAGGAAGGGTGAAATCCATGGGCACACTGCAGTGAGCCTCCGACTTTGGTCCTCATAAAGTTCCAGGGCTTTGGGCTTCCCTGGTGGCGCAGTGGTTGAGAGTCCGCCTGCCGATGCAGAGGACACGGGTTCATGCCCCGGTCTGGGAAGATCCCACATGCAGTGGAGCGGCTGGGCCCGTGAGCCATGGCCGCTAAGCCTGCGCGTCCGGAGCCTGTGCTCCGCAGCGGGAGAGGCCACAACAGTGAGAGGCCCGCGTATTGCAAAAAAAAAAAAAAAAAAAGTTCCAGGGCTTTAAACACCATCATTATGTATAGGCAGCTCCCACATGGATCTCTATTCCTGACCTCCCCTGAACTCTGGGCTAGTGTATCTTACTGCTTATTTGACGTTTGTCAAGAAGGCATCACAACCTGATATATTCAAAAGAGACACTGATTTTTCCCCCCCAAATCTGCTCCTGCCTGGTTTTCCCCATCTCAGCAACCCCCTAGTTGCTGAAGCCCCGAATGTAGGAGTCAGTACTGACCCTACCTTCCCAGGCTCTCCATCTTTAACCTACCAGCAAGCTTATATCTACAGCCACCACCCTAGTGTAAGTCAGCATCTTCTCCCACTGGATCTCCCACCATCTTCCCAATGGTCTCTGTGCTTCCGCTCTCACCTATTTATAATCAAGTTATTCAGAGATATCTTTTATAAACCTAAATCATTCCCCTAATCGACCCCCCCCATAGCTTCCCATCAAATCTGGAATAAAATCCAAAATCCTTACCTTGTCCTCCAGGCATGACATGATCTTGTCCTGCAGACCTCTCTCGCCTGGCTAACCTCCGGAAGTCCCAACCACGCAGCAAACTCTTGAGTCCCACACGCCCTTGCCCACTCTCTGGGCCCCGTTGTAATCTCTCTGCTCGGACCACTCTTCCCTCAAATGATCACACATCTGGCTCCTTCCTGTCTTATGAGTGCCTGGGTTTATGAATGACTTCCTCAAAGAAGTCTTTCCTAACTACCTCTCTTAACGTAGTTCCCTGGTTACGCCTTCTCATATCACTTTGCTTAATTTTCATCACAGTAGTTCTCACTTCCTGATACTTCCTGTCATCTCTGCCCAGCCCCCTGACTAGGAGCTCCAGGAGAGCAGGGGCCTTGTCTAAGAGTGGCAGATGGGGGCTCAATAAAAGTTACAGACTGAATGAATAAATCCAACAAAGTGGAAATAAAGTCATGGGTAGAGGAAAGACGTCTGTGGTCGATACAACTGCTCTATTATGGTAGCAGATTTACTCATCAGGGATGGGAGTGAATCAATATTTCCTAAAGATACAAAATTTTTCTCACCCAATGCTTACAAATAGACCAAAAGAAGGTAATGTGGAAACTGGGTTTTCTTGATTTGTGGGTCCTCCATTGTAGGTCATAGTTTTTGGAGTGATGTAGGACATCTATGTATATATATCATCCTGAGAACACAGCACAAGCTCCAACTCACCAGTCGCAAAATATCACAGGATTTGGTGAGAACGGCCAGCGCTCACTACCTGAAGTGTTTCATCTTCATTCTTCCGACCTCAAATCTCACTTTGTGCACCAATTTCTCTTTGTCGCACATATTTTCCTCTCTAGTAATTTCGAGTGTTATAATTACCAAAAACCCCACTCATGACTATGGTTTTATAAAATGCCAAAAACACAGAAACCTGGAGTAAAAAGTGAAGCAGTGTCACTGCACCAAGCCCCCACCAATCCTACTTCTTTCCCAGAAATAACATCGTCAACCATTTTATTCCATCCAGACCTTTTTCTATGAATTAACATACATATGTCAGATCAGAAGATATGTCTTATTTTCTTTTTTATATACACACGAGATCATACTAAACGTACTCTAAACATACCTTCTTTTTCTCTCATCAACATGTCTTGAGGGTATATATTCTTTTTTTAAATTATTTATGGCTGTGTTGGGTCTTCATTGCTGCATGAGGGCTTTCTCTATTTGTAGCAAGCGGAGGCTACTCTTCGTTGCGGTGCGCGGGAGGTGGCTTCTCTTGTTGCGGAGCACGGGCTCTAGGCACGCAGGCTTCAGTAGTTTCAGCACACGGGCTCAGTAGTTGTGGCTCGTGGGCTCTAGAGTGCAGGCTCAGTAGTTGTGGCTCATGGGCTCTAGAGCACAGGCTCAGTAGTTGTGGCGCATGGGCTTAGCTGCTCTGCGGCATGTGGGATCTTCCCGGACCAGGACCCATGTCCCCTGCACTGGCAGGCAGACTCTTAACCACTGCGCCACCAGGGAAGTCCCATTGAGGGTGTATATTCTTTACCTTAACTATTTTACCACTTTTTATGGTACAAATATATCATAAGTTCTTAGCCAGACTCCTATTGATGAAACTTTTCAGTTTTTCACTATTATAAAATATACAGCAATGAACATCTTCAATCATGTTGCTTTTGATTGACTTTCTTTTACTAGATCTTTTCTTTCACTAGTGCCAATTTTAGTTCTGAGTCCATAGCCCATGATAATTTCGCTATTTCCAAGAGAATGAAGCTATGTCAGTCATGTTTTATTCTCAATTTTCTGCACATCATATCTGGTTTTGTGTGTGAGAGATGATTACAGATATGAAATCATATGAAAAACACACAACCTCAAACAAATGGTAAGCAGTAGTGATACCTGTGTTTTTATAAACAGTTTAAAGTTAACAATTCAAAGAGAATGACGTTATTTATGAGCCTCCCAGATATGGAATCAACTGCACTGAGCAAAAACAGACTTCCTTATGAAGAGTACTTTTCATAAGCAGGTGTTTGTTCCACTTCCTTCTAGAAAGATGTTCTTGCTTCACACAAATAGCCGGCAGGTGCTGGCTTTGCCAGGTTATAGAATAAGAACATTTTAGAGCTGCAATAGGCCCACAGAAAGTCAAAGCCATATCTAAGGTCACAGCTGGGTAGTGGCAGAGAAAGGATGACAAGCCAGGTTGGACACTCATTAGGAAGCGTGCGTTTCTCTGACATGCAGACTGACACAGAGGAGAGAGCAATGACTGGATATAAAGTCCAGACCCTGGAGATGAGAGATCATCTCCATTTCTTGATCTTTGGGGCAACAGATAATTCAGGAGATACCAAGATATTGTTGCTGGTTGTGTTGCTTATTGCCACATTGCTTGTAGTCTGTTATTCAATTAAACCAATATTCATTGAGCGTCTACTACACGACTGGCAGTGTTTTTGTTCTGGTAGCACTGGCGTAACAGTGGTGACTGAAGTAAGTTTCCTGCCCTCCAGTAGCTTACATTCTGGTGGAGGGGAGACAGGGACTAAACACATTCATAAATTTCAGGCACTGACTGACAGCAGGTAACATGGATCTAAGGAATGCTTGGCATCTTCTCAAAGTCCTTCCCGCTGTCACAAATGAGCTCCCTTGAATCAGAGATGCTGAGGCGCAAAGATAAAATCAATTTCCAAACACATTTCAAAGGAAGAGAAAGCCAGTTGCAAAGCTTACTGTCGGTTCTATTGAGATTTTCCTACTGAACGTAAACACAGATTACTAGTTAACACATGTGCCGCAGCAAAGGCCCTAGACAAAGGAAAGACTCCAGGACTCGACCCGCAACACCCCAAGTCATTCTGGAAGGTCCCTGAGCACTGGAGTCATTTGTCCCATTGAGAATGACTGCATTACTAGGGCCACTGCTGAGGTACAGTGGCCGCTGCAAAGATGCAACCTTTGCAAGAGGGGCGGATGACTCACCGTGAACCTCTATAGAGACCTGCAAGACAAAAGTCTTGCAGACCTTAAGCAGCCAGCGTTTTGATGGTAGCGAGGAGATGGCTTTAGCTCCTAATACCCCTAAGAATCTTAAAGATCCTTCAGGGCTAGGAGCAAGCATGTCAGGTTTAGGATTTAGGATTTTCTCTGCCTCAGCACTAGTACCTGAATACATAACTGGGAGCATCAAAGACTCATCTTAAATGTGACCTTCTCTGTGAGGCCTCCCTGGTCACCCTATAAATAATGGCAACTGCCCCTCCCCCGCAGTTCCTCTCCCCCTTCGCAACTATCTTTCTCTCCTTACTCCTCAGCGCTACCCCTCATTTCATTTAACCTCAGTGACTAACACCCACTAGAATGTAAAATCTTTGAGGGCATTTTAAAAACTTTTAATTTTCTTCAATGATCTGTCCCTAGTATCTAGAACAGGGGCATATCATAGGTACTCAATAAATATATTGAGTATATGAATAAAAGAATGAACAAACTAACCAACAGTACCTAAGTATGGTTATACTGGTTATTTCTGTTGCCCAAGAAAGGAAGCCAAGAACAGACGTCACCCTGTAGAAGAAACTGGAGATCACGACCTAAAATACCTGCCAACCATTTCCTTAGAATAAAGGGTATTAGAGAAATCACAAACGAGAGTTGAGGGTGAAAGGTCAAATTCATTTCTCTCAGTTTCATGGTGTTTTGCTGAGCATATACCAGGTGAGAGACAAAAGCAAGCAGAGAATGAAATGACCTTTAACCACAGCATGTGAGCTCTTTGGTTAACACAGTTCCCAGGACCTCTTCCCATCTTTCTGTATCTACTTCCCTTCGTGCTTTGACTTTAAGCAAAGGCTAATATCCCCCAAGGATGTCTACAGACTCAAGCGATCACAGATCACACAGAAACCTTTAAGATGCCCAATAATGCAACTCCATAGCTTCCATGACAGTGGCCAGGAATCAGAGTAAACTGCAGTTTTGAGACAGCTGCACCTTCACTGCACATGCGCTGAATGCTGTGTTCTCATACGAAAAGCACCAGGAAGGAAACAGTGCCACACCTCAATGGTGGCTGGTGACATCACAGGACTCCTCTCCGTCCAAGTCAACCTTTGGCAATGACCCTTCATTTTGAAGGTCTGTTGTCAGAAGAACACAGAGGAAGGACAGAAAGCAGGGTGGGGTGGGAAGGGGAAGACCCAGCCGGGGAAAAGGTCAAGGAAACCCAGATATTTGCCTAAGAAAACTGCAGGGTTGCACAAGATGCACAGATGACTAACTTTCTGTGGCCACTGCATCCGTCATACTCACCACTCTCGTTCTGCACAATGAAAATTTATGATATTTCGCGTGTTATTAGGCCAGTTTGGGAGCTGAAATGCAGACCTTTAGGGGACTTGCCCAAAGCCTCACCATTAGTGATCCGCAGAAGTAGAATAAAAATAAAAGTCCAACACCTGATCCAAAGCTCCTTCCACTGGTATTTACATGTTCCATTTGGGCTGAAATTAGCAGGATATTTTCAATTTCTTTAGCAAAGTAATTTTAAGAATTTCCCCATCAAAATTGTCACAAAGCATGGGATTAATGACCACACAGCTACATATATTTGATCCCATGCCTTTAGAACAGTTGTCCCCAGAATTTTATATGACTTCCTACTTGTAAAAAAAAAAAACCTTTGCATTTACATCTCCAATATAGGACTATTTACTTATAAACCTTACATATACACAGATATTCTAATACATTGTATAATTATAAAGCATCATTGAAAAGATGCAAGAACATAGCATTTTGTTCTTGTTTTCCAATGAATCATCTTGTACCCTAAAGGTACATAACTTCCACTTTGGGGACCACTGCTCAAGTAATGCTTTACTCAAAAATCAATAACAGGGGCTTCCCTGGTGGCGCAGTGGTTAAGAATCCTCCCGCCAATGCAGGGGACACGCGGTCAAGCCGTGGTCCAGGAAGATCCCATGTGCCACTGAGCAACTGAGGCCACGCACCACAACTACTGAGCCTGTGCTCTAGAGTCCGCAAGCCACAACTACTGAACCCGTGCGCCACAACTACTGAAGCCCGCGCACCTAGAGCCCGTGCTCTGCAACAAGAGAAGCCACCACATTGAGAAGCCCACGCATTGTAACAAAGAGTAGCCCCTTCTCGCCGCAACTAGAGAAAGCACGCGCATAGCAGCGAAGACCCAACGCAGCCAAAATATAATTTAAAAAAAAGAAACAACAAAAAACATCAATAACAAAAAGGCTTCTACATGAATATAATTAGATAACTAAATAAGACTTAGAAAAATATGAATACAAAAATTTACCCAAAGTAAGGGTGGGTACCTGCACTTGAAAGATAGCTAGATTCCCATATTTGGGCAAAATAAACTGGGGAGCTATATTATTGAAAGAAAACAGGCTGACAGTTCCTCAGATGGTTCAACATCCAGTTACCATTTGAACAAGCAATTCCACTCCTGGCTATATACCCAAGAGAAATGAAAGTATATGTTACCACAAAAATTTACACATGAATTTTAAAAATCAAGATGTAATTGACACACAGCCCTGTATAAGTTTAAGGTTTACAGCATAATGATTTGATTTACATACACTGTGAAGCAATGATCACAGTATGTTTAGGGAACATCCATCCTCTCGTATAGGTACAAAATCAAAGAAATAGAAAAAAACGTTTTTTCTTCTGATGAGAACTCTTCGAATTTCCTCTCTTAACAATTTTCATATATAACATACAGACGTGTTAATTCTATTATAATCATGTTGTACATTACATCACTAGCACTTATTTGTGTTATAGCTGGAAGTTTGTACCTTTTGACTATCTTCATCCAATCCCCCTCCCCTCCCCCTCCAACCTCATCACTGGCAACCACAAGTCTGATCTCTTTCTCTATAAATTTGTTTGTTTTTGAAGTATAATTGACCTACAACACTATGTTAGTTCCCGTTACAAAACAGTGATTTGATGTTTCTATACCTACGTGAATGTTAATGGCAGTATTATTCATAATAGCTAAAAAGTGGAAACAACCC